CATGAACACCCTACCTTTTCTACTACAAACTGAGAAATTCCATATTACTTTTCCAACATTGATGTCAGCATTAACTTTTGATATTGTAAGAACCAGTTAAATAACTCTTAATAAAATCATAAAATAATTAAATAAATAATAAGAAAATAATTAAAAATAATAAACATCACCTAAAGTACCTGTTACATCCACTCTGGTTTTCTATAATTTAATTTCAGATATTTTAGGTTAATTCATGGGAAGGGATTCCTATTTATTGATATGCCTACCTAATACCAGACATCTTACATATATTGTTGTATTTTTTCACCACAACCAGCTTAAATCTAAAAATCCTTTTGCTCAGGCCTGACCAGTGTAGCTCAGTTAGTTGGATGTCATCCTGCAAAGTGAGAGGTCACTGGTTGGGTTCCGGGTCAAGGCACATGCCCAGGTTGCCTTTCATAGGAGAGGCAACTGATAGATGTTTCTCTCTCACATTAATGTTTCTCTCCCTTTCTTTCTCCCTCCCATTTCCTCTCTTTAAATAAATAAATACTCTCCTGCTCATTTTTAAATTGAAGTTCACAAGGGTTTAATATTTTGTCTTCAACACACAATCAGTACTCATAAAACAGGGAGTCAAATCCAGTTCATCTAATGCTGAAACCTCTATCTTTGCCACCATAGTATGCTATCATCGAGAAGAAGGTATAGAAGCTAGTTTCAAGTATACCGATGTCCTGTCCCAGTCAACAACTGGTCAAAGAAACTGTACAAAAAATATAAAAACTAGTCTCAGGTGTGCCCATATCATGAGCTTGCCCTCATCTCTGACTTGTCCTGTGCTTGGGCCCAACACGTGGCTGGGGAAAATTAGCAGGGACCTGCCTATGGAGCTTTTTCTTAGCAGAGGGTCCTGGAGAGAAAACAGAACTAGAAAACACACTCTATCTGGGAAGCCAGAGGCAAAAAAGCCAGAAAAAGCAGTCAACCTGAGCCAATATTATAACTAAAAAAAAATGAGCCTACATGTTAGGTCCAAAAGGCAAACTAAGCCACACATGGAAAAACAAGGACTAAGTAAATCATCCAGGACAGGTGGGTGTGGGTTGCCATGAAGTGTGCAAAGTGGGTGGGCACAAGAGGTTCAGAAGGATGTGTGTGAAAGGAGAGAGGATGTTGGATGTCACATGTACATGGTATTGGCCACGAAAGTGGACCTGGCACATGAAAGGCCACAGAAGAATCAGCCACTTGAATAGTAGGGAAAATTATTGATTCTTTCTAGGGCACAACTAAAACTATGAGGCCTAGAGCAGCAGGGTTTGGGTTTTTTTTTTTCTTAGCTATTAGTATTTTGTAGTTGTGAATATCATGGAAAGGATAATTTTTAACTGTGAAGTTTTTATATTTAAGTACCTGAAACAACTCCGAAAGAAGTCTCAGTGCAAAATTAAGACTGAGCAGAGTACAAAGTTTAAAATTTGAACCCTTTAACAAAATAAGGACTATCAAAGAAGACCACAAGGTAGCATGAAGTTATTCCCAGGTCTCTAGACAATCTGTATCACAGGTGGCAAACACAAGGCCCATGGGCCAAATCCGGCCCTCTAACCTTGTTTTATCCAGCCCAGCACCTTGTTTCTACCTGGCGGCAGCGCCAAGCTCTCACTTAACTGTTAAGGAGTAGTTACATTTATACAGTCCTAAAACTACATTTGGCCCTTTGAAGGCAACCTCGAGGCTGATATGGCCCCCAGTGAAAATGAGTTTGACACCCCTGCTGCACGTGCAATTTCTGATCCCATTTCCCTTTAAAAAGGTACAGGTCACTCCATGCCCATAGGCTGTCCAAATGGCCATTTTGACGACCAAGGAGCCTGGAATGGATCCTTTTAAAAAGAAAACAAGTAAGGTTGTCAGTGTTTTGAGGAGTCTTAAGGAAAACAACAGAAATCCATCTGTATTGAGATTGAACATCTCAGTAGTTTTTTCCCTTAGCATTTGCATTGAAGCTTTTGCATCCCTCCCCCCAAAAATCTGGATTTGTAGATGTTTAAGAGACTCAACACTTTCATTTTCCATTTAATAAATTGATTTTCTTCCCCACTATAGGTACTTGGAATTAGCTCAGACCCGAGGATAACTACAATTCCAAAGGGGAATGTTCAGTTCATTGTGAACGGTTTAACAGCAAATAGTGCTTTGACAGCCAAATTCCTGGTCTCCAAATTTATAAATTTGCCCTTTTTTTCCTGTCACAAGTCTTACTCAAGACCACTTCTGAGCTTTTGCACATTTAACCGTTACTCTCAAAGATAATGTGTTACTAAAGAACATGAGAAGCTTTAAGTTCATACAGTTGTACTAAAAGAACTCTGATATTTATAACCAAACTATGAACATATTGAATATAATAAATTAAATGCTGAACTAAGTGAAGAAATAAATACTGTACTTATTTTCATGTCTGTGTCTATGCATCCTTCAAACAGGTCTAAAGAGTCATAAACCAGCTATAAAGGCTATGATGCTTTTTATTTTATTTCTTCACTTAATGATGCAGCACTCATTCCTCAAAAGAAAAATTATGAATAATACTAGAAGCTAAATAGTTGTTTTTGGCAGTCAAAAATAATTATACTGCCTTTAATTGATCTATATGTTCCATATTATTTTTTCAAACTCTCATTGTAATAATAAAGCTACACTACATTATAATGTGGTTTCATGTATTACTTCATTTAATTCTCTATAAAATCCTAAGGAATAGCTAATATTAGTATGCCCACGTTGTACATGAGGCAACAAGCTCAGAGAAAATTGCCGATGATCACAGAGGTAGTAATCTACAGGGCTAGTATTCAAAATAGATACTTTGGGCTTCAACAGACCCTGGGGTATAATAATATCAGGGATATGTTTGCTTAATAATTTTTAAATAACTAAATCAGCCCACATATCAATAAGTTAAAAATTTTAAAATTTTATTAAGTACGAGGTCTGAAATCTGTCTTTTGCCTCAGGTTTTGGGGTTTTTTTTGCTTTTTGTTTGTTTGTTTTACTTTCTGACATGTATAAATTGATATAACCAAAAAGTTCAGTGACCAAATTCCAGTAAGAAAATATGTTGCCTAATTCACACACATCTCTGTATTTAGAGGAGAGTGACTTGATTTTACAATAAGGTATTGTTTTTCTTAATTAATTGTTGTTCTGTCACTTGTTTGCATGTGATTTCTACGTGTAAGTGGTTTATAAATTAAGTTTTATGGGTATCTAGAAAGAACAGTTCAAATCAATAAATAAACTTGTACAAGTGTTGAAGAGAAAGCTTACATTTAAATGTTACTTTGTTTCTTCATCCTAAGAGAATGAACTTTTTTTCAAAAACAGTTAAAATCAAGCATTAGATATGCAAATATGTGTTCAGATCAGAGATAGCAAAATTATTCAAATGATTAATTATTCATCATAAAATGCCAATTAATAATTATGAAGAATAAAAGGGATCTTTTGAATGCAACTTTATTTTTCTTGGCCTGAAAAGGGCTTCATATACACGTTCAACTGATTTCTAGCAAATTTTAAAAATTCAACAAAATAAACAAATTGTAAACAAGTGCAAACTCTGAATTTTATAAAGAGAACAAATGTGCACAAAATGAATTAAAGACAAACAAAACACAAAACAAAAAATATAGTCAAATTAATGGCATAGGCAGCCTGTGCTCACTAACTTGCTAAGTAATGAGGCAACCTGGCCATGGCAACAACCGAACAACTCAAGTTGTGTGTCTGCTTAGCACGGACAGAATGCATGACATAGTGTTTCACTCTGAGTAGGCTGATCTCTGTTAGGGGTGGGGAGGTGCTTTAGGAAATACTTTACACCCTCCAGATAGTCATTAAAGGAAAAAGCACATTTTAAGTTCCTTTAAAGTAACTATTGTAATCTCTAAAGTCTGTTAAGCACTGCTAAAATATCACTATTAATGAGAAATTTTCTCACATTGTCTTGATTCTTAAAATTTTCTCTATTCCAAGTATTATTCATTTTTGGGAAGACTATTTTTTTAAAAGTCAGTTTGAACTGATATGATAATTCAGAATAAGAAGCAATTATGATACTGAGCTATTGATTTACACATTTATTTTATTTTATTTTATTTTACTTTTTACTGACACCTGGTGAACTTGTTCTCTGATGACCCAGGGAGTTAATTTTAGTCAGGGTGTCCCTGACCTCCTGCTGGTAGATTAAAAACATATTTAACATTGTGTTTTCAAAACGAAATGATAAATCTGGACACATAAAGGAGGCAGAAAAAGAGAGCGAGGAAGAAGAGAGGCTGTTAAGAAACACAAGAGATTGCAAAAGGGAGAGATCAAATAGAAAGAAAAGAGAATGTAGGAAATGCAATTGGGAAAGAATTTAAAGAAAATCGGGATAAGGGGCAGGAAGGGCTGAGAAGGAGAGCAAGAGGGAGATAGGGAAGGAAGGATTTTTGGTTTTCAATTCCCTGGCGAGACTGCTGGCGTCCGCGCCCTAAACGCCACAGCCTTCCAACTGGAGGCTAAAGCCACCTCCTCGGGCCTGCGTCGCATCCAACTCAGTCCAAGTTTTCTGGTGACTCCTACAGGGCCCCTTCCCGTCACCACCATCTCCCCCCACCCCCCCAAACACACACACCCCTCCTCCATTTAGTGAGAGTGACAGTCGCGTGGAGGAGGCTTTTCCAGGCACAGCCTTTCTCATGGTAATCAGCCCCCTGCATCACCTCCCCACGGCGGCCGCTCCCGCAACGTGCGCAGCGCTGGGACCCCGGGGACCGGAAACAGGGCGGCGGGCGGGGAGCTGGCGAGCGAGCCAGGTCAGCTGACCGGGCGGCGGGGCGGGGGTCGCGGGGTTCCCGGGCGGGAACAGGTCTGGCGAGCGGGCGGGCCGCCGGGGGCCGACCCCTTCCCCCGTCCCCCCCTCCCCACGTGCTCCTCCGCCCGCGCAGCGGGGGCCTTACCCAGAGATCAAATGGAGGGACCGAAGCTGGGGGCGCAGGGGACTGAGCGCGCGGAGCATTTGGGGCCACAAGCAGACCTGTTTTGCGTCCATAAATTAAGACGCCTATTTGAGTCTTGAAGTTTGCTGGTTCCTGTCAGTGGAGGAGACGTTGGCTGGCAAAAGCACTGAAGCCGAGAGTCAGCCTTAACTTGAAAAAATTAAAATAAAATAAAATTAAATTAAATTAAATGAACACTTCAGCTGGCTGCCCTGCTGGGGCCAGGTGACGTGCGAGATTCCACAGCCCGCGGCCTCGCAGCAGGGATGTTAGGGACGGCCTGAGGTTGTCCGGTCCTGTTTTGATTTTGTTTGAAAGGGCTTCTCAGAGAGATGCTCCTGATCCCCCCCCCCAACACCCCCACCCCCACCGCCCCATGCTAGGCTTAACTCCGAATGGATTGGATTGCGAGTTTGCACGTGAGAAAACCGTTTGGCTTGGCTTGGACCCCTGCCGCCCCCAACCCCCTCCACCACTCCCAATCCAGGGGACCCCTTATCACCCTTTGCTTGCAACTAAGAAGTTGCTCATCTCCTGCGTAACAACATAGGGTCAAAATAATTCCTACGGATGAAAGATCAATTCTGTTTCAAAACGAGAATAAATTCCTTTTCAAAAAATTTTCTCCACATTGTACAAAATAAACAGAATTTGCTTAAAAAAAATAGCTGTGGCCAAATTCGAGTTACTTCTACAGCCTGTGTGTCCAAGGGCAGAAACATTGTATCTCTTCTGGCATCTGGGCCCAGGAGCCGAGCTGGGGGCAAGGGTGAGGTGGGTAGCGGCTGAGAAAGTTTAGGAAACTGACAGACTGAGAGGTGAATGGGGGGACAGGCACCAGGTCCTGGCTGGAGGGAATAGGAAAACAAAAGTGCATCTTCTCACCCTGCCTGGCTGGAGGGAATCCTGAGGAGGCAGTTTATTTTACTCAAAGAAATCCTAAAGAATTATTTTTCTCCCTCCATGTCGATTGCAATATTATTTCACATTTGCATATATCTGTTGTTTTAATCCCCTTGGTCTCTGCTAATCTCGGAATGGATTATTAATGGAAAAGAAAGACGAGGAAGAAGCTATTCATTTGCAGGACTTATTTTGCTGTGTGAGGAGAGGAAAGCTGGCAGCCCCCAGCCCTCTTTCGACTTTTCCCTGCGTCCCGCGCTCCTGCATCTCGCAGACTCCACTATCCCCATTGTCCCCACTGGCCTTCGGACTAAGGGAGCGTTCGGGACAAATGTGTATTCCGGCTTTCTCCGATCCCACCGCCTCTGCGTTGGGGGGAATTCTGTAGGTCAAATAGGGAGGAAAGTGCCAGAGGCGTGCCAAGCATGGGGCGGGGGGGGGGGGCGGGGGGAGCAACCTAACGGCGTACCCACCCCTCCTGGGGACACTTCCTGCGCCATCATCCAAATATCCACCTTGATGGGAACCCCAGAGATTACTGTTTTACCCCTGGTTAAATACTTGCATGTCGGAACTCCCAGTGCTAAGTGTTGGGGCTGCCTGCTGCCCCTTGAATAATTACTGAGCCCAGAATAATCAAATGATTAGGTGTTTTTAGTGGAAATACTTGAGTCTTTTTTTGTAAGTCAGAGCCTAGGTAGCCTGACATTAATATACTGTACATAATAAAGACAAGATATGGTAGCCGTTCGATTGGATTCTTAGACCTGAAGTTTTACTGTGGAGTGTGTGTGTCTGGGCGAGTCTCCAGTGGCTACCTGGGCTCCTAGGGTGGGGTCCTGCCCTGAGCACTCCATGCAATGGGCTCCTGCTTCCCCCGGAATTGGAGAGAGAAGACTGGAAATCAAACTTCTAAAGAAAGCTGAATTCCAGTTCTCATTTTTTTTAAAGGGAGGGGGTGGTAAGATAAAAAAGATATTAATAATAGAGGTAAATCTCAGAACAGGGACTTAATAAGTCATATATGTATATATGGCTTATAAATACAATTTTTTTAAAATGTTAAACAAAATTGAGAATGTGCCTGACCCATGTTGGAAATCTTTAATTTCTTTCTGATTACTAGTTTTTGGACTGACAAACTTCACTGGTCCTCTTCTATAGGTAATTTATCTGTAATGAGGTGGGCAGAGGATTGATTTGCCCAGCTATTCTCATTGTAATAAATACTCAACTTAGGAAAGAGTAAGTCTGTAACCAACTATGAGAACCGACTTTCTTGCATCCTAAAGTAAGAATTGGCTGTACTCATGCTGGTGGCTATTCCCCTCCCCCAAAAAATAAACATATAAAATACAAAGACATGCACCTCTGGGAGTGTGGATGTGGCAACCCATGTGGCTTTTTCCTCCTCTGAGTGCAATTGCCAAGTGACTCTTACATTCAAAGTCTTGCTTTAGGCACACATTCAAAGCACAGTTCAGAGCAGTTTATCTTAATATAAGTAAAAGTCTAGTGTTGGTTCAGGGTATTATTTGTTTCAGATTTCATCAGACTGAAAACAGGGTGTAACATATTAACAATATTAAAGCAGAAAAAATGGCATGAGGCTATTCTTTCGTCCTCTTGACACCTCTACATTTACCTTTGCAAAGAAGCCCTAAGGTTGTGGGACTGAAAGTTTATTTGTACTCTGAGATTCGCAAGCACTTTCACTCTTTAAAAAAAAAAAACAAAAAACCTCACAATTCTTTAAGAAATTGAGCCTGAACCATTGGAGGCTAAGAGATTTCTTCCTTTTCCGATAAATGCCTGTGCTCAGCATCCTCAAATTTGGCTGTCTTTATTTACTTCTATATTAGTTCCAATTATGTGCAGTGTAAACCAGCTTTTTGATTAACAAAACAGCAGAGCATTGGTTAAGAACACTTAAACTTCAAAAAAAAAAATTCCCTTGGGAAGTGGGCTCTGAATTGGTTAATAATGTGCAGTACTTGCTAAATTGCTGACTTCCAGATGTGGAAAATATCTTTCTTGTTTAGGACCTATGTAACCTGATTGGATTACGACAGAAGCGTCACATTGGAAGCTTTTGAGTGATTATTTAATTAACCATACAGTAGAAAGCTGTATTCTCCAGGAAATCCCTTCCATATTTACATAACCAATCCCTTCAGAGCAAAGGTGGAGTCTTTTCTTTTTAATTTTACTTTAATTGCAATATCAAAAATATATATACTCCCAAACTTAGACCCCATGCTGTTTAATATTATGCTCTTCCTTCCCTGCTAAGTTCCTCTATGGCCTTTCTCCTTTTCCTCCTGCCTCACCACACACACTCCCTCACTTTGTAGTAAGGTCTCCTTGAGATGTAGAGGGATTCAGATATGGTCAACCCAGCGCTCTCTGTTAATTTACTTAGAAACTCCATTTAAAAAATTCCAAGCTACTTTTTAGTTTGAGGATGTAATCCAGAAATTCATCACACACACAACAACAACACACACACCCTAAGATGCAGCTCACAGGCAGCATTCTCTTTTCCTGGTTCTGGCTTCTAAAAAGAAGAGAGAGAAAGGGCAAAGAATTTAGTTCCAGAAGCTGTGCTGAGAAATCCACACAACTTAATGTGCATCTCAAATCTGGTCATTAGAGATATCTGTATATGAAGAGGCAATCTGAATTGAGGACCCGGGATCTTTCCCTTTAACTTTCGCCCCTTGGAGTTCTCCAGTTCTGTGAATGGTGTGCACCGTTTTCCGCCCAGTACGCTGTAGGATTTAGTGATGAGGATAATGATGCCAAAGGCTTGACTGGGGGAGGGGGGAACAGGGTGGGGGGGGCGTGGAGAAGGGAGGGAGGAAGGCGAGAGGGAGGGAGAGAGGAAGGGAGGGAGGTGGAATTTCATTTCTTCCACTAAAGCCTTTGCGGAGACTTCAAGGTATAATCTATCCCAGATCCTTTCCCAGAGAGAAACTTGGCGATCACGTTTTCACATGATGCTCACGCTCAGGGCGCTTCAATTATCCCTCCCCACAAAGATAGGTGGCGCGTGTTTCAGGGTCTCTCTCTCTCCTACAGAAAAGAAAAAGAAAAAAATGTCATTAGAAGAGGCGTAACACGTCAGTCCGTCCCCAGGTTGTGTTTCCTGGAGTGGCTAAAAGAGATCAGTTCTAACCTGCTCCGCAGGAATAACGGTCCTGCCTCCCGACACTCTTGGCGAGGTTTTGTACAGTTTGCTCCGGGAGCTGTTTCTTCGCTTCCACCTTTTTCTCCCCCACACTTCGCGGCTTCTTCATGCTTTTTCTTCTCACCATTTCTGGCCAAAACTACAAACAAGACTTCTCAGGTAGGTTTTTTTCCCCTTTTCTTTTTACTCCTTTTTGGTAGGATCACCCCCCTCCTTTTATTCTTTTTCTCTTTTCAAGTGAGAATGTGAGTCCGAAGTGAGAAGGAGTGTCTGTGGGTAGGAATTTCAGGTGGGTTTAGCTCCTTTATGGCAAGCTTCTTCCAAGAGTGACTTCTTCGATTTCTCTCCCACTCCTGTTCGCTCGCTCTCTCTCTCTCTCGCTCTCTCTCTCTGCTTCCTTTTCTCTCTTTTTTTTCCTCCCCCAAATAATTTGCCCTGTACCTGTCCATCCAGGTAACCCAAGGTGCCTTTTGCTACCCAAGCTATGAAAAGTTTTCCTGAGAACTATATAATTGGAATAAAAACTCTCCAAGGGGAGAGATCCTGTTCTATTTTCACATCTAGTTCCAATTCATTGTATTCAGCAATTACAACTTGGCAAATACCTGTTAATAATTATAAAACTTGATCGATACAAACCTACCAAATTCGGGGCAAGTCTTTCTCTTAGATATGGCAGTCCATCCTCCTCTCCCACCGGAGAAGGCTGTTTTCTAAGCAGAAAGTGTCTGTTTTTTGTCTGCTTAGCGAGTTTCATTTCTTTATTTCATTCTTTGTGTGTGTATGTATGTGAAGTAACACCTCACTTCTGCGATGATAAATAAAGAAGTGAAAGTCCTCATGGAACTTGAGTCGTTTACTAAAGTTGGGGGGGCTGGGGGTCACTACAGCTGGGATGAAAACTGCTGTCAGGATATCAGGGATTTAAATTAAGAATAACTTTTGAAATTGTATTTTAAATGGCATAGTAATATAGATGGACTTAACAGGAGCCACATACACACACTCATCCCATTCCATACTTTGGCACTGAAAAGTCGAGAGAGAAAGAGAGAGAGAGAGAGAGAGAGAGAGCAGGGGTTCCCAGGAACAGTGGTGAACCCTACTAACATGAATGTGTTTATCTCCCACATATATATATATATATATATATATATATATATATATATATATATACATTTTTTACATGCTCCCCCTATAATGAGGAAGGA